AAGTAAGTTTTTTAGTAAAGTAGTTCACACTATCGGACAACTATGACAAACTCAGGAAAGACACGAGCGGAGAACAGGTTTCCATCATCAGACGACCGACCGGTCTGACAGAAGACGTCTCAACATCTGTCTCGGCCAGGGCCTGTAGATCTGTTTGGCCAGACCGCAGAGTTCAGAGAGTCTATTGTGGTAGAAAAAGAATTTTCCCACAATGATATGAGTAGAGCTGACGTTTCACATAGCCTTGCTTTCCCATCCTGCACTGTCGCGGTTCGACTCCCGCTGAGGTTGTTGATAAGACCAGCTGATGCGAGGTCGAAACTGCAGTCCACTGGTGCCTGGCTGAGAACAAATTTTGGTAAAGCAAGACTATGTGAAATTGAATGGAAATTTCAGCTCAACTCATATCATTGTAGGAAAATTCTTCTTCTATCAGTCCTTCATCATCTTAAACGAAATTGAGTGAATACATCTCATATTACTGATTTACTCGTGGTCACGAAAACAATCTTCAATTCAAAAACAAACTAAATTCTCAATATGAGATGTATTCCCTTTATTTCGTTTAAGGATAAGAACAACATTTTGGAAAGCAAGGCTATGTGAAATTGAATGTAAACGTCAGCTCAACTCATATCGTTGTGGGAAAATTCTTCTTCTACCAGTCCTTCATCAACTCAAGCGACAGTAGCGTGTTTGATGATAGACGCGGTACATGAAGCAAATGCTTAACGATGATAATTGCTCGACATCTATCGCCCCAAGTTAGTCTCCTGTCCAGCTTGCGAATGCACACTTTGTCCACCTACTCCGCCAGGCGGGAGTATACGTGCCGGCAAAGACTTGTGACAGAGTGTGGCAAATAACACCTCGCGTAGCACAAATAAGATGGCAGGGGTCAAGTGTAATACTTTAGCCGGGGAGGTAGGAGACGGATCCTGTGGGAAGAGGATTGCGGACTAATCTGGCAGGTTGAGATCGACGATGCCGGTGATACGTCTGCCGACGTACCAAGTCCACGCTCCGACTCTGAAGATTGGCATAGAAACTATATACTCCGGACAAAATGCATTCCTCTAGGTCTTCCTCACAAAGTCTAACAACTTGCATACAACAGCTTGGTCTTCATACCTTCGATTAATATTTTTATTTAATGGCTTTTGTGGCACATTTTTGCCTAGAATAGCATCAACATATTGTTTAACAATGCTAACGGGATGAATTAAGTTATAGCATATACAGAAAAATTATTTATACTTTTATCATTTTTGATTTAGTACATTTAAGCAAGGGCAGGCTTTTTTCAATCAAAGCTGCACTATTCTCTAGAGCCATTTTTACTGAATTTTTTAAGTATTAGTGACTAAGAAGGTTGAAATAAAATAGGCGATTAATTTTAGAGTTTAATGATGAAATAATTACTTAATTTTTATTCTTGAAATTATTAGATTACCTTAAAAAGATCCTTGAAAATGGCTAAAGTTGTTGAGTTTAGAAGAGACTGTAGTTCAATCCGCTTTAATCAAGAACCTTTAGACCCTAACTGATGTTGTTGCAAACGACCGTTAATTTAGTCACGGTTAAATGCAATTACGAGGCTTCCCTTATTTGATATTTACATGAGAACCAAGGCATTATTACAATTTCCCTTGGTAACATTTACAAACTATTGATAATAAAAAAATTCATTTTTACTTAATTATTCCTCTATTCCCTGACAAACCAGAATATATGTTCAAATTAAATGTACCAGTATTTACTCTGCAGCTTACCTTACTTTGTTTTTTTTTTTAATATATAAACTTTCGACCGATGAGAAACTAATTTGTGCCCATTTCTGGAAAACACGGATGGAAGAGTGTTCAGCATTCTTAACTAGCTTCTAAAAATGTTCGGAAATTTGTCACTTTTATTGCCTTTTCTGATGGACTATCTCTGGAGAATCTATAAAAAGCATAAGTTAGCGATTGATACAGAGATTCGATTAAAGCTTATATAAAAAATTGGTCTTTCTGGAGCCAGAAAAGTTAGGAAGTCAAGTAACGGATTTCATGGCATTTTAAAGAAGAGCATAGAAAAAGGGGGTGTGCAGTCTTGTAAACGATACGATTTTAAACTATTTTTAATTGTTCCTACTGCCTATATTTTTTTGCCGTGAATTTTTACTTTTATTAATTTATTAATTTTATTGCTATTCATTTATTTATTTTTATTTTATTAATTTTAATTTAATTTTCTAAATTTATACTCTTTACCTTTTTTGCCCATTCAACTTTGAGGACATCTTTAATTCGGTGCTGCAAAGCAAACCAGGCCTGCTCTACCACCTGCCCTGCCAATGGAATGTACAGTTGGGTCGATCCTCAGAGACTTGGCTGTGCGACTGCCACTGGCCCTTGCCTGGCAGGGCTGACCTCCAAGCCGACTCGGTAGGTTCATTTTCAGAGCATAAGTCAACCAAAACCGAGCAAGCAAGAATGGCATTTACGTTATGGGTAGGCTTGAAACAGGAGATTAACTCAAAAGATTTTGGGAAAATTAAATTAACAGTCTTTTACTATCTTAAACCAAGGAGGGCGAATACAGATCGTGCAAGAGAACAGCTTTAATTGCACGATTTGTCTATTGAAGCCATATTTTGTGGTTCTATGCCTCTCGAGAAGTGAGAAGAATTCATCATCAAATGAAATGGCTGAGCGTCTATGACAGTTCGACGAGAAGCATTGAATGCTTTGCTCTCAATTGTCCTATTTGACTTTGCAAACTATGTTTTTCCTTCCAGATTCAGGCCCTTAGCTACAGGCGGTGGAAGTGAAAGTGTACCAACAGAGCATGTGACCATTCTGACACTAGCCGCCATTTCGATATGAGAGCTTTCCCACATTTGAATGGCATCCCACCCTTTTCTAGTTTATGCTAGAATAGATGGGTGAAGAAGACCTGGTACAGTAGACCCTGAAGAAGGCCAAGTTTCTAAGCGAAACTGGGGATTTCGGGACGGAAGTAGCAGATCCCTTTAGAGAGTGCGGTCTCAGAAGTTAATAATTCAAGAAAACTGGTACCTCTAGAGCTTTTTTTAAGCTGATCTCGAAGCATAATTAAACAAAAAAAAGGTATAGAAGTTGTTAGGCCTTATTTATCGCAACTTGGTCCTGTTGGTAGGAAGACGTAGAGGAACGCACCTAGTCCTGGAGTCCATTGTATGAATCATCATTTCCACAGTCGGACCGTGGACGTGGTACATTCGTCAAAAAGTCTCTTTGACGAGTTGTTGTACAACGAAATGAGACTGCGACCACACAAAAGGCCACACCAGCTTGGTCTTCATACCTTCGAAAAAATAGGTAAATTCGTCGATCCCAATGTCAAAAATATGTCACTTTAAAAATGTGATTTCTCGAATGTGATCCAGAGGCACATCTAGTTATGATTTAGATTGGTTTCGTCGCCACAATACTCACAACTCGGGCTTCTGATGAGACCTAAGCGATTTGGAAGCTGCAGTCCACACTAAATGCGATTGTTTTTTGCACAAGAATTACTGGTAGCCTCGAAAGTTATCTGTACCAAAAATGCAGCTTATCATTTCGATGCTCGACCTCTGGTCCTACGTTGACGAAAGGAAACTTTCAATACGCCATCAGAAGACCGACTATTTTGAAGTGGGAGTCGGTTGAAATAATTGAACATGTCTTTCTTTTCCGTCCCAAGACTGGGCGGACAGAATGGGCTCAGGGTTGGATTGGAAGATTTCCCGCTTTTAAATGGCTTCCAAATGAGTGTCGTGTTGAGGTGAATATAGCAATTCTGTTCTTTAGCGAGTGAAAAGTTAGCTGAAATACTTTACTGTACCATTTCATGCTAACCCTATTCGTATCAGCAGTGCCAGCCTCCAGCAGGATTTGAATGATGCTACGTTACTCCTATTTTCAATGCAATCTAGCCCACAACATTTGTGGGAGATTTCGTGTTGATTGGCAAGCATGCTTTTTCCCTCAAACTTGGTTTCTTCAGTGACCGTAATGAGTTTGAGTGCTATCGTGTTATTCTCGATGTGATTACTTTTCGACACTATATACCTACATTTCTATACATGTCCATGTTAGTTTTTTAGTTATGAGTATATTTAGAAGCTGAGGTAGAATTAGACAGTAATAAAATGTGAATCAGTCGTCGCCTTCTGGTGACTTTAACATTAAGATCTGCTCTTCATGCACTTTCACACGAAATGAAAGTCTCTCCAACAATGTTCTTTCATGGGGTCCACTTAACCTAATTATTCCATGCATCCGAATAGCTACCCGTGCCAATAAGGTATTTTTTTTCTTTACTGCCTACTCATGAGTAACGTTTCGCAGCCTGCTTTCCTGCTGTTGCTCCCCTTTACTTGAGACACCTAATTTCTCAGCCTCATTTGCTCAGCTGTATTGCCCAGAGACAGCAGAATAGTGCACTACTCTGTTGCTATTTCTATAGTGATTTGTAACTAATGATATTGTTGAATATGCATTAATTATGCTTTTAACTCAGATTCTCAAAATCGCTCATTGGAATTCCGCGGACAAGACATTTCTTCGTGTGGGCAAAGTCGACGAATTGGTCGCTGTACCAGACGACGAGATGCCTTCCGTCGGTGCACAAACACGCAGCGACCTCCACTTGAGTTACAATTCATCAAAGAAGACAAACACTGATCACGTGACAGGGCCAGCTTCAGAAGTCGTGATGAAGGGTAGAAGCCGCACCAGCAAGAGGAAGTCCATCATTTCGGTCAAGCTGTCCGACTTTGAAGAAGGTAAACTGATTGTTGCTATGATCAACCACATCTGATGGGAAAGGAAAATTGTCTTTTTTGATAATCCAGAAAAATGTCTTTTATCCGGGGGCTCGGAAACTGTCTGATCCCTTCCTAATTCAACATGTTGTCACCAAAATAAGCTGACCAAACACTAAGGAAAAAGACATGTAGTAATCAAAATACTCGGTTTGCGGTCGCTAACATAATTTCACTGAAAATGTAAAGATGTTGGTTTCTGCACCTTGAATTGATTTGGAAGGCCCTACTTGTCAAAAGTGAGCTTGCGGATCTGGCAATGTTTGACTGCGATATCGTGAAAATACTATCCTGCCCTATAAGAAAGGATTAATAAAAGGTCTATTTATGGTGAAATGTTTGAAGACTTGTTTTAAACGATTTTAAAGCGGGATCCAAAGAGTGATTGTCTGGTTCTAGAGGCAAATTCACCACCCTCCAGGCCACATAGGCCTTTCCAAAATTCTGCGACACGGTAAATATGACTTTCGAGATTAGATGGACTTATTATATTTTGCATAATCGTCTAATGAGGAACTTCGTGGAATAGATAATCGTTTTTTTTCCACTAAAGTGTACATAATACTGATCTTATCGTTTTGGGCCCCTTTAATGCTTTCATATTAGTCAAGGCTAGAAATGGAAACGACAGTTTGGGGCACACAAACTCAGCTTGGGCATTTTAAATACCGAAAAATAAAAAAAGTTCTCTTCGAGAATTAGCCCCCAATAATTGAGGTTTAAAAACTATATCCAACGACCTAAATAATCTATTTCCATTTATTTGGTACCGTTTCGTAAATATTTTAGTCAATCGAATCAATGTAATTTGCTAAATAGCGCTACTCTTCGTATTTTTGTCTATTATATCCTTCAATCCTGCATGAACTTTTGCTTTTTCATCGTTCCACTAGCTCTTCTGTTGCAAAGGAGATTTATCGAGATGGCCAAATTTCTGGACAATTATGATGGCAACTTGCTAAGAGAGGAGACTTTTTTAGGACGAAATTATGCAGCCAAAACAAAAGTACGTTGGTATTTCCATTTGCTGATTTTCATACGCCAATTGAACATCATTTTTAAATTAGCTACATTTCCCAGTGAACCTATGCTAAGTAATTATTTGTTGAATTTAAGAATTCATAATGTCATCACTAGTTCTTCATCTGAGTATGTTGCAAAAGTGAACTGCTATTGAAGAATTTGCTTGATCTTATACTAAAGCTTCAACAAATTAAGTCTAGATTCCAATACGAGAGATGAGCAGACAGTGACAAAAGGTGCCTCTTGATGGTGGTAAAGGGACTGTATAAGCCTCAGAATAGCAGAAAAGATTGCAATTTTAATATACTTGCACTTTTGTAAATTAAAACTAGGTGACCTAACTGTCTCAAATAGTGATTGCAATACTTGCAATCACGAAGAGATGCGTAAACTAATTTTAAGAGCATAATCGAGTCTGAAGCATGGTAAAAATGTAAATAAAAGCTAGAATAAGTCTGGATTGCCAGAAAGAAACTTTTATTTTGAGTTTAACCTCATTCTATACCATATCACTATCGGTATCTATTTAGACTGTAGGTTTATTGACTTATAGTGTCGGGTCTGGACATGAAAATTATTATATATTTTGTTGGTATCAACTGGCTGCATTGTAGACTTTCCGTAGGAAGTTAATCTATTAAAATGTGTATCGGTAGGGGCTCAGAGACAAAGAATTGACACCTGATTAATCAATAGTCTTATATCCCTTGGGCTCCTTCAAGCGTGTTATCGAGGAGGATATATTCTGCCTGAAAATGTCAAACGGTCTTAGTATAAATCATGAAGCTGACAAATTTACGTACAAAGTGCTTAAGCTATTTTCTTCAATTTGTAAATCTTATATTTCTTATTTTAAGTGGAGCTTAGAGATAACCAGTAAATCAGTAATATGGGATATATTCACCCATTTTCGTTTGAGGTGATGAAGGACTGGTAGTAGAATTTTCCCATAATGATATGAGTATAGTTGAAGTTTCCATTGAATTTCACATAGCCTTGCTTTCCCAAAGTCCTTCATCACCTTAAACGAAATTGGGTGAATACATTTCATAACAAATATTAATATGATAGTGGCTTGTTTTAAAGTGAATTACTATATTACTTAAAACAATATAGTAGCATAATAGTATGATAACTAGATTTTTAATTTTATATTCTTAGTCGAAGATATGAGAACCAAGATGGTGTGGCACCTGGTATGGTCGCAGTATTATTTCAATTTATAGAAGTGAGTAGACTTGGATGTCACAACTTAGTTTTGTTGTTACGGCAACTTAGTAGAACGCCATAATATTTATTATAATACCCAGCTACATCAAAAATTCTCACTTGTTTACATTCCACTCGTCAAAATGTGTGCCATTTTGTGGCAAATCTAGTATGGCCTCACCACAGCCACTATTCATCCTTCTCTTTTGATCGAATGATCCGACTCTGGCCTCCAATCCGGATCCCCTCATTGTCTCGGAGATCCCTTCCTTCTCTTTCTGATTGACCGATTTCACTCGGTTCCAGTCCCAGCGTGCATTTCACTCCAGGCGCTCTTACTAAGGGCCCTAGAAACATGTAAACTGCCGCTTCATTGAGACGAACGCTTAAGTTCTGATTGCCCTGTTTGCAGATATCAAATATTTCCTTCACGGGTCGTCTCCCTGATTGAAGCCATGTTATCTGAACAAACTGTGGACGCCTAGTTCTGGTCGCATGCAACATCTCAAGTGGATTTATGGTACATTTTGGCCATAACGCCGAATTTCCGTGACGGTTTGCTCATCCGTCTGCCCAGCTCCCTGACTGTCAGGCCCTCAAAGTTGTACTGGTTCATTCCAAATGGACATCACCGACTGACGAGGTCTTCGCTTCATTGCCAAAATTTCTTTCCCATTCTGTTTGCGATCCTTTTGCTTCCGATTAGCGATAGATCTCTGATCCAGGCGTCTCCTTTTTGCGGGTCTTGCTCTATTCTTGTTTTTCCTGAGTTTGCTTGAACAGCTGGCAAAGTTATAGCTAACTCTACATTCCTCCAATTTCCATGTTGATTATATTTTTCTTCCTCATCTTGTGCTTCTTTGTATTATCACCGTATGTGGCTCTTCTTTCTGTTGCCTTATAATTGATCTCGTTTCCAGTCTGTGCGATGTGTTCCGCTAGTTCTGATCTTTCGGTATCCATTTTCCTGTAGAGCCTTTGATCTTCCTTGATTCGTGTGCCAATTTTTCTCCCTGTTTCAACAATATTTTTCTGATCGCAGGCGCCACATGATAAACACTAAACTCATGAACGATCCAATTTGTCTACCATTTCATGTTGCGTTGGTAGACTTGTGAAAAGTGTTGATTTCTCCTTCATGACCACCTCAATATTACATTTACTAAATATTGGTAGTGGTTTTTGAGTTAGTTCGCAGGAATGTAGGCATATCCACTTTTGTGAATCCTTGATCGTCCTTTCTATCCTTTCACAGTCCCCGCACTGCCATCGGCTTTTCACGGACCGTATGTTTCTTTTTATCACTTCGATTCGGTAGCCATTGCCGAGCAATATCCTCGTCAAGTTGTCCAGCTCCTTGTCCCGGAATTCCGTTTAGCGTAGGCTTCGTATGATCATGCTCTTCATCATTCCATTCTTTAGCCGGTAATTGTGATGGGACCGGAAATTGAGTATTATCCCAGCAGAGGACCTTCTTCCGAACAATTTCTTTTTGAACGTGCCATTAAAGCGAATCACTTCAATCGCTAACCGAAGAAAAAGAGGTCGCGATGCGGAAATTTGGGAGCAGAGGTTTTTTAGCATTGAAGCGAAGACGTCGTCTGTGAGTGATGTCCATTTGGAATAAACCAATTCAACTTTGGGGACTTGTAGTCAGGGAGCTTGGCAGACGAATGAGCAAAGCGTAACGAAATTTCGGCCTTATGGCCAAAATGTACCAGAAATCTACTCGAGATGTCGCATGCGACCAGAAATAGGCGTCCACAGTTTGCTCAGATAACATGGCTTTAATCAAGGAGACGACCCGTGAAGGAAATAGTTGATATCTGCAAGCATGGAAATCAGAGCTTAGGCGTTCTGCTCAGTGAAGCGGCAGTTTACGTGTTTCTATGGCCTTGAGCCAGAGCGCCTGGAGTGAAATGCACGCTGGGACTGGAACCGAGTGAAATTGGTCAACCAGAAAGAGAAGGAACGGATCTACGAGAAAATGAGGGGATCCGGATTGGAGGCCCGAGTGGGATTAGCTGATCGAGAGAGAAGGATGAATAGCAGTTGTGATGAGTACATACTAGATTTGCCACAAAAGGGTACACATTTTGACGAGTGTAATGTAAACAAGTGAGAAGTTTTGATGTGGCCGGGACAGAAAGAGGAGTGAAAGTGTGACCGTTTTCGGAAGAAACTTTGTCGGAGGTTTGACTTCACTTGTCTCCTTGACGAGTTCGTAGCTCGGTGCACAGAATGCTAGCACTCATTGATGATGCCGGCGGATCGTCTGAGAATGTACCAAGTCCATTGTCTGGTGCTGGGAATCATGGCAACTACTATGACAGACCACTTCGGACTAGGTGCGTTCTACTAATTCACCATAGCAACAACAAGACCCTGTTGCGACAACGAGGTAAACCCAATATTTATATTCATAGGTTTGGGCTTAATTACTAGTAATCGTATGGTTTTTTGTGATGACGAAGTTTAAATGAAGCATAGAACTAAAAGAAGTATCTTGTCAATAAATACAATTTATATGAAATGTAATCTCACTGGAGGTGCTGATGGCACCTAGACGAGGTCGAAACTGCGGTCCACACTGAATGAGAATGGCCTTTGGGAGGCAAGGATATATGAAATTCAATGTAAAGCGTCAGTTTTACTCATATACTTGTGGGACAAATCCATTACCGGTACTTCATCACCTTAAGCCAAATAGGGTGAATACATATCATATATCCTATTTACTTTTATTCTCGAAAACACAAAACAA